TGGAATTTTTATGGTTTCAGATCTTAGTTTTAAGTCTTTGATCCATCTTGAGTTGATTTTTGCATAACGTGAGAGATGAGGATCCAGTTTCATTCTCCTATACATGGCTTGCCAATTATCCCAGCACCATTTGTTGAATAGGTTGTCCTTTCCCCACTATATGTTTTCGTATGCTTTGTTGAAGATCCATTGGCTGTAAGTATTTGGCTTTATTTCTGGGTTCTCTATGCTGTTCCATTGGTCTATATGCCTATTTTTATACCAATATCATGCTGTTTTGGTGACTATAGCTTTGTAGTACAGTTTGAAGTTGGGTAATATGATGCCACTTGGATACATTCTTTAGGATAAATTCCTGTAAGAGAATCAAAGGGTATGCCACATTTTAAAGCTTTAGATTTGGCAGGAATATTTAAGTTCCACTTCACAAATGAAGAATGTGAGGGTGGCCAGGCACAATGGCTCACACCTGTAATCCCAGCACTTTGGTAGGCTGAGGTGGGTGGATAACCTGAGGTCGGGAGTTCGAGACCAACCTGGCCAACATGGTGAAACCCCATCTATGTTAAAAATACAAAATTAGTTGGACGTGGTGGTGCATGCCTGGTAATCCCAGCTACTTGGGAGGCTGAGGCAGGATAATGCTTGGACCTGGGAGGCAGAGGTTGCAGTGAGCCAAGATCGTACCATTGCACTCCAGCCTGGGCAACAAGAGTGAAACTTCATCTGACAAAACAAAAAGAAAAAAAGAAGAATGTGAGTGAGGGTGTAGTGGTTTATACGTATGGATCTTTAAACTCAATTTTGCTTCTCTCTCTCTCTCCCTCTCTTTCTTTTCGTTAGAGGCATAATCTTGCTCTGTTGCCTAGGCTGGTGTGCAGTGGTGTGATTACAGTTTACTGTAGCCTTGAACTCTTGGGCTCAAGCTATCCTCCTGCCTCAGCCTCCCAAGTAGTTAGGACTACAGGCATGCACCACCACACCCAGTTAATTTTAATTTTTATTTTTTGTAGAGTTGGGGGGTCTCGCTATGTTGTCCAGGGTGGTCTTGAACTCCTGGTTCCAATAATATGCCTATAGTGTCTGGGGTATATACCCTGGGGTTCGTTGTTGTGCGCCAAGAAAGAATTCAGGACACAGACACGTGTGGGTGGGTTAAGTAGTGGAAAGTTTGATAGACAGAAGAAAGGAGAGAGGAGAGCAGCTTCTTGGGAAAGAGAGATGTCTGAAGAGGGGGTGAGGAGGTGGCTTGCAGCAGATTTTATAGGCATCAGGTTGGAGAAGGCAGTATCTGATTTACATAGGGCTCACACATTGGTTCCATCAGGTATGACGTCTACATACTGTGTGGGGGTGGGGGAAAAGGAAGGCTTGTCTCCCTACCCTAATCTTATTCTGCAAATGGGCTTTCCTGTTGATCTGCACCATGTTGTCTGCTTCTTACTGTACACGTGGCTGACAAAGAGAAGGGAGGGTGGGGCTGCCATCTTGAATATGTCTATCCCCGAGTTTCTGCTGGCATTCACCAGTGCAAGCTCCCAGCTTGCTTGTCTATGTCTGCAGCTCGACCTTACAGGCTGCTCTTTGTTAGAAAATGATTTGGGGCTGCTTTTCATTAAAGAGAAAAGCCTTACCAAGGGCTCCCATACTCTCATTATCTGCCTAAGTGATTTCTTCTTAACTCCTATATCACCAAGTGATCCTCCTGCTTTGGCCTCCCAAAATGCTGGGATTACAGGCATGAGCCACCACGCCTGGCCTTTAAGTTCAATTTTTCTGACCCTGAATTACATATCATTCACAGTTTACCATGGAAACCATTTGCCACTGTAAAAGATTTTGCATCAGAACCATTCATTGTGTGAAATCCCAGATTGCTTCCTTCCATTTCCCAGTTTTGCTGCATTCATTTAGATTCAGCTCTGGTTGTTGGTACTACATTCTGTTCTGTGGTCTATTTGTGGTAAACCTTTTAGTTTGACACAAGGCAGTGGTTAGGTCTTTTGTTGAGCATTATCATTTGCTTAATTCCTCAGAAGATCTCAAGAGGACTGTCTGGTACATAAGAGGTGCTCAATAAATGGTTGATTGTTCAATAGTTACAACAATCAATCCTCTAACTCCAGAGGACCAGCTATGTTTCAGAAACCTCATGATCAATCATGCTCTCCTAACATTTATGTTCTAGATGGAAATTGCTGTAGACTTTTTGAGAGGTCCATGACTGTTCTAAGCCTTATGACTACAGAGTTTTGTAATACAGTGTGTTGCATTTTCTATGTTACCTTATGAAAGGCATGGAGATAAGGAAATCGGCAGAAGAGGAGAAAGAGATAGCTGGGCTCCAGTGTTCACCTCTCTCTCCCCATGATTAGTCCAAAAATGAAACAGGCAAACATTTATTGAGTACCTACAAGGCTAGACTGAATAGAGGAATCCAAGTTAAATGAATTCCATTATATAGCCCAATTCTGATTATATCAGCTATTCACATTTAGTTTTATGTATCATGATAAGGTTTATTGAAGACGCTGTGGAAAGAGTGATCAATAGAAATTAGCTCTGTGTTCTGTATGGTTCAAAGTAGGGAGATAAAAGTATGATTTCCTGAATTACATTGAAAGGAGTCAGCCAGCTTGCTTTAGGCAGACAGTAAGGGAAGGGTCCCCAGAGAACCTCCCATCCGTGTTTCGTACAGATAAGGGAACTTACACAGGCGTCTTGCCTAAACATGCCTACAGTGGACTAAGGGCCCGCATGCACACTGGGGGAATGGGGTGGAGCCACCAGGAATTTGCGCCTTATACAAATAGGGAACCCAGCCCCATCAGCTTGCATGTAAAAGCCCTTGTATTCAACTGTGAAGTGGGCAACTGGGAACCTGCTTTCAGAACCCTTTTCTTTGCTGAGAGCTTTCCTTTTGCTTAATAAATTCTACTCCACTCACTCTTCAAATGGCTGCGTACCCAATTTTTCCTGGTCTTGAGACAAGAACCTTGATCTAGCTGAGCTAAGGAGAAAAAAATCCTACGTCAACATGGTTTATTGCCATATGAAGATAATTTGTTTTCTTAGGTTCACAATGTATAGAGGCAGAGAATTAAGGGAATAATTTCACAGGGAATACACTCCATAGATGATGTATATTAACTACATAGTGAGTTCCAAAACTATTAAAATCTAGTTGTTCAATTAAGTTTGAAGCAGACCTCTGTGGAAAGTAAAGTCTAATTAAAGATTGAGGTGGGTGTGGTATTAATGCCTGTAATCCCAGCATTTTGGGAGGCTAAGGCAGGAGGACTGCTGAGCCCAGGAGTTTGAGAACAGCCTGGGCAACTCAGGGAGACCCCGACTCTACAAAAACAATTACAAAAGTTAGTCAGATGTGGTGACATGTGCCTGTAGTCCCAGCTACTCAGTGGGAGGCTGAGGTAGGAGGATTCATTAAGCCTGGGAGGTCAAGACTGCAGTGAGCCATGATTGCACTTCTGTATTACAGCCTTGGCAACAGAGTGAGACTCTTGTCTTGAAAAGAAAAAAAAAAAAGAAAAGAAAAACAATTGAGGTGTACCTTTACCTTTTGGAGGTTGAGGTTCTTGGGAGAGATGGTGTCCAACATATAGGAGATCTGTGAGGATATGCAAAGTTCCACGATGCTACAGGGTGGTGCCAGTGTTGGTGGACAGGCTTCAAAGCTTAAAGGCTAACAGGATGTGGCCCTGTTGCAGCCTGACCCGGTAGTGTTTAGGGAAGTGGCGGACAGAGCTTACAATCTGCCACCCGCTGAGCTCTCAAAGCATCTCGCAAATTCTTGAGTTTATATGTATTTTGAAATCCTGTAGTTGAAGTCAGTAACTTATATATGGTGTTTGATAAGGTGTAATGTCACATTAGCTAGGGGAGGTGAAGTTTATTTCAACTTCATACATGTGGGATCTGATGAAGAGTGATGTCACATTCCCAGGAGGTGGGGGAGTAGCTCTAAGTTCTTAATTACCACAAAACATAAATCACTCACTCTTGTGGCAAACTATGTGATCGGAATCATTTCAAAGCAACATAACACTGCTGTTTATCTTGTGTCAGTTAATCTCCTGGGTCTGTGTCCTGGTCATCACACTATGCTAACAGTGCTTGTGAAAGTGGGATTCAAATTCCACAAACACACATCCACATAATACCTTCCTATATTGCAAGTTGACTCATTTAGAAACATGTTCTTTAAGAAAAGTTTCAGGTATATTACATGTATTTTTAGCATTATTGTAAAATTATTACATTATTATTGGGTATTTTCAGATAATACCTTTCCGATTGGGTGGTTTGGGGTGGTGGTTGTTTTAAAATTATTTTAAATACCGTAACCTATCTTTTAGTGCTCACGATGAAGGAAACTACGATGTTTACAAAATGGCAGTTTCTTGTTCATCTGAATAAAGACATCTACCAAGGGTAAACTGTAAGAAGCATTGCGGTGTACCTTGGGTTACTCTTTGAATTGCTTTCACACCTGCTTAATTTTATTGGAACAAGATCATAAAACAAAACAAAAATCCCACAGTTCTCAATGCATTCCCTTATCTAGTAGTAATATTACATTCCTTACCATAAACAGTAGCAAACATGATCTTATGCATCTTGAAAAAGTAAATGATGTCAGTATTTATTTGCAATACATTACAGTACACTTAAATACAGTCAAAACAGAAGGGGGTGTATTAGTAATTTCTCTGACACATTACTCTGGCTCAGATAAAACATTCCGCCTTTGCCTTCAGTATCCAACTTAGCATTACCGTTTTGATTATATGCAGGCACCTTTTCAAAAAACAGTAAATCAGCATGCTATTTTGTTCGCTGCAGCACCAGGCATCCAATTTACTGAGGTTTGGCCACAAGGTGCAATCCTGTTTTCTGGGAGCCCGACTGTAGTGACAGCATGTCCCTTCCAGCCTCTTATTACGGACCCTCCTTGAGGTCAGCAAAGGTCTAAGTTTTACCGCAGTCTCCAGCGTTTGATGCGACCCCGGGATCAGGTGGGGAGTGTTAAGAACCCTTCCTAAGAGTGACTGATTGATGGCGGGGGAAGGGGTGGGCGCGGGCTCAGTTCCGGGAAAAGGCTGGGGCCCTCGTTGGGAGTGTACAGAAAGGTGACTTGAAGAACGTGGGGAGTCGCTCGCAGTTCGGTACGGTGGGGCGGTGGCCGGGGCTGCTGGGGACAAGGCGCCGGCAGCCCGCGGAACACCCGCCCCTAATTC